CCTCCATCACCTTCTCCCCTCCTCCTCCCTCCTCCTCTTCCTCCCTCCTCCATCACCTTCTCCCCCTCATCGTCCCCACTTTACAAATGGCCAATCACAGCCGTTTCCATCGGCACGTGACATCGCCACTACGTCATAAAATTATAAACCAATGCTAGCCAGGAAGTAGACTGGTCCCCAGCGCTAAACTCGCACCGCCTGTCATAAACAGTGGAGCCGCGAACCCATCTAACCAAAACGTGCAAGGCTGCGGGCAGCCATCAGACGTGATTATTGTTTACGTTCGTATTATATGCTGCGTGTATATTACTTTATTATATTCTCGTTATACATAGAGCGTTTTTACAGCAATTTATTTAAAAGCAGCAGCAGGAGTTTTTTGCCGTTTGCTCATGAGTAGCACTGTGGTGAGTGCTGGGTGAACTTTGTCGTTACGGTCGGTCGCTGTCGCTGCAGTGTGTCTTGGCCTTAATGGAGAGAAATGCTGCCTATTGTCGTGGTAACAGCGGATGCCGTGTCGTCCGTCCGTTCGTTCATGCTGCGGGGGGGCAGTTGGTGAGAATCTTGAAGCCTTATAAATAGCTATAGTGTACTAAAGCTCCTAACTGTAGCGTCTGCATTGATCGCAGGCTGCGTGCAAGACCGGACAGATCAAGGAGGTTGAGCGCATCTGCCGTGAGAGCAACTGCTATGACCCCGAGCGCGTGAAGAACTTCCTCAAGGAGGCGAAGCTGACCGACCAGCTGCCGCTGATCATCGTCTGCGACCGCTTCGACTTTGTGCACGACCTCGTGCTCTACCTGTACCGCAACAGCCTGCAGAAGTACATCGAGATCTACGTGCAGAAGGTAGGATCAGCTTGCTGTGTGTGTGTCAGGGAAAAAATTAAAATTTATTTTTCGTGGTGCTACATTTCAAGCTTGCGTGCATGAAAATAGCACTCTAAAATTTGGTTTTCATTGAACTATATGCAAATTTACGGGGGCTCTTTATGGCATTTCGGGTGCTAAATCGCCCCGAGCCCCCATGTATTTTTCCCACTGGTGTGTGTGTGTGCGTGTGTGTGTGTGTGTGTGTGCGTGCGTGCACGCGCGCGTGTGCGTGTGAGTGGACGAGTGGTTCGTAGCTAGCCACTGTGTTTGTGTGTGGATGTGTAAGTTGCTACCGTGTAACAGCTATCTACTGCAGTGACCGCTAGAGAGAGTTGTGTATAGATGTTGGGTGACGCCTGTGCGTGCATGCATGAGAGTGAGAGAGAGAGAGAGAGCGATTCAATACTGGCGTGATGTGCCTCCATAATTGGGTGCGTGCGCGTTGGGAGGACCGTGACTGACCGCGCACTGCCTCACACGTCTCGCAGGTGAATCCTAGCCGGCTACCGGTGGTCATCGGTGGGCTGCTGGACGTAGACTGTACGGAGGACACGATCAAGCAGCTCATCATGGTCGTGCGCGGCCAGTTCTCCACAGACGAGCTCGTCGCCGAGGTCGAGAAACGTAACCGGTGAGTCGTCATACTCGCGCGGGGGGGGGACTTCATCTTGATCGTTGATTCATTGTCGTTCAGCATGATTCCTCTCAGAGTGATGTTTCTTCCCTCTTTGAATATGAAACCGCGATGTTTGTACGTCGCTGCGTTGCTGATGATGAAGACTATCTAGAGCCAATAATAGATGTCTATGACGGTTGGTTGATATTAAATGATAGGGCTGAAGCTTCGCACAGCTACAGACGATCGCTGGTGAGCCGGGTATGATCACTGTGTGGTGGCATTGTGAATACATCGCACTCCCCTCCACTCGTAGTGCTGGCCCAGGCCTTTTCTTCTACTATGTTGATTGATTGATTGGCTGTTGCTGCAGTCATAATAATTAAGACATTGATTGTTTGGTTGACTGTTACTCTTGTGACGTGTGACCGATTGATTTATTGATTGATTGATCGATTGGCTGTTAGTCACATCTATTGAGACATTTATTTATTGATTGATTGATTGTTAGCGGGGTGACTTTTAAGTGATGCGTCGTGTTGTGCTGCAGGCTGAAGCTGCTGCTGCCGTGGTTGGAGAGTCGGATACACGATGGCGTCACCGAGCCGGCGACGCACAATGCCGTCGCCAAGATCTACATCGACATGAACAACAATGCAGAGCGCTTCCTCAAGTACGATCGTTGTTAGAGCATAGACGTTTTGCGGGGGGAGGAGGGGGTGCTAGCGGCAGATATAAGAGGCGTCGGCGTTGTAGCGTGCATGGGGAGAGAGCGTCATCGAATAGCAGAGCCTGTGATGAAAGCAATCTAGAGCCTAACAGATTGATTGACCTTGTCGGGGTTTGATATTAAATGATAGGGCTGAGGTTCTGCTCGATCTCTCTCCTCTCCCTCTCTCATTCGTGAGTGAGGTGTTTGTAGTCGCGGGGGGAGCAGTGAGTGGTGGGTGCTTACGTGTGTGTGGATGTTTGCAGGGAGAACCCGTACTATGACAGCAAGGTCGTCGGCCGCTACTGTGAGAAGAGAGACCCGCACCTTGCCTGCATCGCATACGAGCGCGGCCAGTGTGACCTGGAGCTGATCAACGTAAGCCCTGCTACGCGTGCTGTCGTGTCGTGAGTGGGAAGACGACGTGGTGGCTGGAGTATAGTGTAGCAGGCTGGATGGGGTAGCAGGAATATAGTAGGGTGGGGTGGGTGGGTTTGAGACTACGTGTCTAGAGTGGAGTTGGCTGTGAGGGTGTGGAATTTAAGTTGTTCCTTCTCCCGTTTATGTTACTGGACAGACACATGTGTCCCTGATTAAGCTTTATAGTGTGATAGAAGCTTTAGCTTATGATAATCCGTTAAGAGGTGTGTTACAGTATCTCTGTGTGATTCGTTAACAGGTGTGCAACGAGAACTCGCTGTTCAAGAGCGAGGCGCGTTACCTGGTGAAGCGGCGGGATCCGGAGCTGTGGGCCCAGGTGCTGCAGGAAGACAACCAGTACAAGCGGCAACTCATCGATCAGGTATAAATAACGATCGATTGATTAGTATGAGGGGTAATACTGCACAGTTTGTGGTACAATAAAAAAAATCCTAGGTGGTACTAGCTACTTGGTTGATTCAGATTGATTGATTAGGTGTGTGAATCTTAGGTGGTTTATACGATGCTGGGAGGGTGTGCGCATCACAGGTGCTTCAGATGACACTGGCTGATTGATTGATTGATCGATTAGCTATGTGCATCACAGGCAGTTCATGTCGTACTGGCTGATCGATTGCATGAGTAATTGATTAATTGATTGATTGGGTGTGTGCACATTACAGGTGGTTCAGACAGCACTGGCTGAGACCCAGGACCCAGAGGACATCTCTGTCACAGTAAAGGCCTTCATGACAGCCGACCTTCCGAACGAACTCATTGAGCTGCTAGAGAAGATTGTGCTCGACAACTCTGTGTTCAGTGACCACAGGTGAGTCCTAACTCTTAATACCTTGGCCCTTGAATCTACAATTGAGACCAATACTACTGCTGCTTTTGCTACTACTACTACTACTGCTATTACTACTACTACTAAATACTATACTACTATATTATACTACTAATAATAGGAGTAGTAGAAGTAATGTATGTAATTATGATGCTGCACACAGCAACCTGCAGAACCTGCTGATACTGACCGCTATCAAGGCTGACCGCACGCGCGTCATGGAGTACATCAACCGGCTGGACAACTACGACGCGCCGGACATCGCCAACATTGCCATCGGCAGCGAGCTCTACGAGGAAGCCTTCGCCATCTTCAAGAAGTTTGACGTCAACGCCTCCGCCATCCAGGTGCGTGGTCGTCGCTGCCGAACGCTGGCTTCCTGCTCCTCGCGCACGCGTATCGCAGCGCACTTGAGCAGTTGGAATCCGAATGCTGCCATTACTGAATCACGTGTATCCTGTTATCCTGTTACTCAGTCCTCGTCTGAGTAATGTCTCCTGTCTCGGGTGACGTTACTCTCCTGTCAGAGTCCTATCGTAATATTTGTCTGTCGTTCGCTGATATAAAGCTGCGTTGCTGATGATGAAGACTATCTAGAGCCAATAATAGATGTCTATGACGGTCGGTTGATATTAAATGATAGGGCTGAAGCTTCGCACAGCTACAGACGGACCTGGCCAATTAAAACATCGATCATCATCAAACCAAAAAAAAACATGAAATTAAAAATATAGGGTGACTTTAATATGTTCAAAGTCTTTTCTAATTAAATGTGATTACAGCAGTAATAATGCTCGAAAAATTAAACATCGATCAAACCTCAAGAGAGTTAAAATCCAACTACATCACTGCTGTGGCGCCATCTATGTTTCAGGTTTTGATCGAGCACGTAGGCAACCTGGATCGCGCGTACGAGTTTGCGGAGCGTTGCAACGAGCCAGCCGTCTGGTCGCACCTCGCGAAGGCGCAGCTGCAGCAGGCGATGGTGAAGGAAGCCATCGATTCGTTCATCAAAGCCAACGACCCCTCCGCCTACATGGAGGTGGTCAGCGTCGCACAGACACACGGTGAGTGAGTAGCCGGACACACAGGAGCGGGGTGAGGGGGGGTGAGGGTGGGGGTGGGGGGGAGGGTGGGGGTGAGGGGAAGGGTGAATGGTTGCTAGTGCCGCCGTGGTGATGATATAACAGTGTTCTGCTTACCTTTCGTATGAATCCGATGATTCTTCACTACAGCACTCTGAACGGTGGTTAGAGACGTGGGAGCCTCGTAAGCAAAGGTCTGAGCGAACAATGGCAGACGATATCTAATGTCTTTCTCGTTTCCTCTTCACGCGCTCGCAGACAACTGGGAGGACCTGGTTCGCTACCTGCAGATGGCGCGTAAGAAGGCGAGAGAGTCGTTCATCGAGACCGAACTCGTGTTCGCCTACGCGAAGACGAATCGTCTCGCCGACCTCGAGGAGTTTGTGTCCGGGCCGAACCACGCACAGATACAACAGGTACGTGCGTGCGTGTCTGTACGCGTTTACCGTGGTTGCTCCAAGGTTCCTTCTGTGGTGCATAACCCTAATACTCATCTTTGTGAAACATTAAGGGCTTATAATATGTAGTGACGTTACGCCCGTGCGTGACTCTCGCGTGTCTTTGGCTCGCGGTACTGATGGGGATGCTGCGCTGTTCTAGGTCGGCGACCGTTGCTACGAGTGTAAGATGTACGAGGCGGCGAAGCTTCTCTACAACAGCGTGTCTAACTTTGCGAGACTTGCCATCACGCTCGTGCAGCTCGGCCAGTACCAGGGAGCCGTCGACAGCGCGCGCAAGGCTAACAGCACCAAGACCTGGAAGGAGGTGAGTGGGACGCGCGGGATGGGGGAGCAGGGGTTGTCCCGGGGGGGGGGGGGCGTGTCACAGGTGGCTGGTGTAGGAATATCACTGTTGGGGTGCCGCACCTGTTACATCGATAACGTATGTACGTTTGCTTGCATACAGGTGTGCGTTGCTTGTTAACGTGTTTATCTGGGTACAGGCAGTCGGAGGAAAAACTTGGCCAGTCCTGATTTTTCGAAAATTTGTTTTTCTACTATATAAATACCATAAAAATTAGTCGGCCATACACAGATGTTACCAGTATTGGACTGGGAGAGGCGTTGCTGTTTCCAACTGTAGTGCACATGTGTTCTGCTCGTTAACACCTGCGTGTCTTCCTGCGTACATGTGTTCTGCTCGTTAACACCTGCGTGTCTTCCTGCGTACATGTGTTCTGCTCGTTAACACCTGCGTGTCTTCCTGCATACACGTGTTCTGTTCGTTAACACCTGCGTGTCTTCCTGCGTACACGTGTTCTGCTCGTTAACACCTGCGTGTTTACCTGCGTACAGGTGTGCTTTGCGTGCGTGGACCACGAGGAGTTCCGGCTGGCGCAGATGTGTGGCCTGCACATCGTCGTTCACGCTGACGAGCTGGAAGAGCTCATCAACTACTACCAGGACCGTGGATTCTTCGAGGAGCTCATCCAGCTGCTGGAGGCTGCGCTAGGTCCGTGCCGCAACATGACAGTGTAGAAATGACGACGATGACAGCGGGGGTGGTGACAGCGGGGTGGTGGCGATGATGATTGTGATGGCAGTAGTGGCGACGACTTGTCACCCCATGGATGACAACACTCCCCTTGTCGCGATGTCGTAGTGCCTCGTTTGGTTGCGGGGCGGCAGCACTGACCGCTGCGGTTGTTTTTTGTGTTCGCGCAGGTCTGGAGCGGGCGCACATGGGCATGTTCACGGAGCTGGCGATCCTCTACTCGCGCTACAAGCCACAGAAGATGCGAGAGCACCTCGAGCTGTTCTGGTCTCGAGTCAACATTCCTAAGGTACGAGTCACATGCATGCAGCTCGAGTACGACTAGTGTCGAGAATCTAAGTGAGCCCTGTACTTTGTATATTATAGCACTGTACTGTATGTGGCACAGTACTCTACTGTGTGTATTAATACTGTGTATGACACTTAACGAAACCGAACCACGGGTTAACATTGATTAAAATTATGTAACGACGTGCATCTCTGCTATTGAGTAGTAAAAATAGGAGTAAGTAATAATGAGTAATGAGGTAATTAGTAATGAGTTAAGTAATCAACATTGCGGTTGGTGCGGCACACGCTCTCATCGTGCGCGTGATGCGTCTGTGCAGGTGCTGCGGGCTGCCGAGCAGGCCCACCTCTGGGCAGAGCTGGTGTTCCTCTACGACAAGTACGAGGAGTTCGACAACGCGTGCGTGACGATGATGCAGCATCCGACGGACGCGTGGAGGGAGGCGCACTTCAAGGAGATCATCACCAAAGTGAGCTCAGAAAAACGCGTGCGGTGGTGGGTGGGGGGATGTCAAGCGCGGATGCTGCTTGATCTTTTAGTTTGCTCGTGATTCAGCGCTGTGTGTGGGTGAGCGCGTGTGCGTGCGTGCGTGCGTGCGTGCGTGCGTGCGTGCGTGTGTGTCGTTCCTCGCTCGCGGAAATCTAGCGGTACTTGTGTCGTGTGAGACTGCTAGCATGGTGAAGGTGTCGACCATTTATGGACTATTGGTGCCGGCGCGCTATAGTCGTTGTGGATTCTTTGTCGCTAGTGCCGCCGTGGTGATGATATAACAGTGTTCTGCTTACCTTTCGTATGAATCTGATGATTCTTCACTACAGCACTCTGAACGGTGGTTAGAGACGTGGCAGCATCATTGCCGTCCTGATATGCGTAGTTATAATATAGTTAATTAGCATTAGTTCATGTTCGCTAGTCATGAGTCGACGTCGCTGGCATCGGTGCTGCTGCCTGTTGGGCGTTCGTGACGTAACAGTGGTTTTCTCCATGTCCACCAGGTGGCGAACATAGAGCTGTACTACAAGGCGTTGCAGTTTTATCTCGACTACAAGCCGATGCTACTGAATGACCTGCTGCTGGTGCTAACACCTAGGCTCGATCACACGCGCACCGTCAACTTCATCAAGAAGGTGAGTGATGCGTCGCTCTTATCCGCTTTACACGCCGGAGGACGGGTGGTGTCCACCAGTCGCAGTACCGGCCGTGGGTTGCCTTTATTCAGGTGTTAAGGCGCAGAACGGAGTGTAGTAACAAGCTCCTTAAACCCGCGCGGAGGAGTGTAGGGAACCTACCTCCCGCGCAGTGTTCCGTCTCATCGCTCTGGCAACCGCATTACGAAGCACGCTTCCTTAGATCCGCTCTCGGGGTCTTGCTCGCGCACGTGCACGCGTGCTGCCATCTCGCGGCGGCCGCGGGCATTGTCGCGCGCGGACCCGGCAACTTCACCGGTTGTTCCGTCGAGAGTGCTTGAGTCATTGGCGTGCGAGAATAATACACCTGCACCTGCAGTCCGCGAGTCACGCTGCCCTCGTGGCGCCACCTGGTGGCACGACACGCTCACATCTCGAGTGAGCACCACGGCATGTGACGGGACAGTAGGGCGGACACAACGTGTCGGCCCCTAACTGATAGCTTGAGAAATGTCTGTTTTGGTGATGGCCCGACAAAATAGTGAGGTGTCAACTGTGTAGTATGCTTCCCATGTGCGGTTATTGTCTGTTTAATCATTCATCAATAGATTGTTAGTACGAGTTCACTATTACTATCTCGTAGTTGTGTACTACACTATAATGACTGTTTCCTGTTTTACCACTAACTAATTATTATAATTATATGATGTGTGTTACTTAATTTAGGAGTAGTATGCGTAGTGTATTGTGCGCTGTGGTAATTGAACGTGATGGTAGGTAATGTTGTATGTTACATGGTGATGTTTGTTGGTAGCATAATGGTACTAGTCACGTGTGTTTAACGAGCGTGTCTGCTTTCTCCCCCGTGTCGCGTTGCAGACGTCACACCTGCCGATGGTGAAGCCGTACCTGCGCTCGGTGCAGAGTCTCAATAACAAGGCAATAAACGAATCTCTGAACGACATGCTGATTGACGAGGAAGATTACAACGGTACGCTCACAGTCGCTCCCTATACCATACGCTCTCTGTCTCCCCTCTACTTTTTCTCTCTCTCTCTCTCTCTCTCTCTCTCTCTCTCTCTGTCTCTGTCTCTGTCTCTGTCTCTGTCTCTGTCTCTTCTTCTCTTTTCTCTCTCTTCTCTCTCTTCTCTCGCTTCTCTCTTTCTCTCTCTCTCTTCTCCTCTCTTCTCTCTTTCCTCTCTTTCCTCTCTTTCTCTCTCTTTCTCTCATTTCTCTCTTTCTCTCTTTCTTCTCCTCTCTCTTCTCCTCTCTCTCTCTTTCTCTCTCCCTCCCTCCCTCCTCCCTCCTCTCTCTCTTGATTTTGTTCACTGGGTTTTCTCTGCTTCACCCTTCTGCTACTATTTACGGCAACAGATAATTTTGATAGATAGTTAATCTTGGCAAAGCTGACCTATGGTGAATGATCAATCGAATTCCTCCAGATGTTTGTTCAATTTAATTGTGTCTGCTTTAAATTTGTTTACATACTTGTTCGTACTGTCTATCAATGTACTGACGTTGACCTCTGGCGCCCCCTGCAGGCTTGCGCACGTCGATCGACGCGTTCGACAACTTTGACAACATTGCGCTGGCGCAGCGGCTGGAGAAGCATGAGCTGATCGAGTTCCGTCGCATCTCAGCCTACCTCTACAAGGGCAACAACCGCTGGAAGCTCGCCGTCGAGCTCTGCAAGAAGGACCGTCTCTTCAAGGTGAGTGGCGCCTTCTGCACTGCGACGGGTCTGTATTTAGAGGCGCCCCCTGCACTGCGACGGGCCTGTATTTAGTGGCGCCCCCTGCACTGCGACGGTCTGTATTTAGTGGCGCCCCCTGCACTGCGACGGTCTGTATGTTGGCAGCCATTGCTGTGGCATATACGTGTCGTCTTGAAGGTCGTCATGCGCATCATTTGTGTGAAGTGAAGACTGTTCTTGTACTTGTGTGAGGCCTGTTCCAATTTTGCCAAGGCACTGGTGGAAGTCATTGCGGCTGTGTAAAGCAGAGATGATGATAGCGCATGACGGGCGGTCGGAAGTCGCCTGTACAAGCGACGAATCCGTGTCGATTGTCATTTTGCTGATCTGCATACGGTGCAATGAGCAACGCAAGCGATTTGCTGGGTTACACCACTGAACCGAGTGAATTCTTGAGGCTCGAATTTCACTGCGGCAGCGACGGCCAGTGCCGTGGTTGCCTTCCTTGCTTGCAGTGGTGCCCTAACCTTTTGAGTAAACCGAAGGCAACACTTTCTTTCGGTCTTGCCCCAAAAAACACTAATTCCAAGTAGGTAGTAGTAGGTCGTTCTGTCCGGTGATTGAATTGCCATCTGAAAGCACGCGCGTGTTTAAGTGCCTGGCGGTGATCGCAGTGCCATCTATACGTATGCTCGCGTTGCATGTGTTTCAGGACGCGATGGAGTACGCGGCAGACCTGGCGGTGATCGCAGTGCCATCTATACGTATGCTCGCGTTGCATGTGTTTCAGGACGCGATGGAGTACGCGGCAGACCTGGCGGTGATCGCAGTGCCATCTATACGTATGCTCGCGTTGCATGTGTTTCAGGACGCGATGGAGTACGCGGCGGAGTCACGTACGTCGGACCTGGCGGAGGAGCTTCTCGCTTACTTCCTCGAGGAACGTAACAACGAGTGCTTTGCGGCGTGCCTCTACCAGTGCTATGACCTGCTGCATGCGGACGTCATCCTCGAGCTCGCATGGAAGCACAACATACTCGACTTCGCGATGCCCTACATGATCCAGGTCATTCGCGAGTACACGACCAAGGTACGCCTGCCTGCGCGGGTCCGTGTTTCGGTGGGTAGGGACCGAGAGCGAATGAGAGTTAAGAGTTAGGTGGGTGTGCGTGCATGCATGCATACGTGTGTGTGTGTGTGTGCGTGCGTCCGTGCGCGCGTGCGTGTGTGTGTGTGTGTGTGTGCGTGAGGAGCAGAGATGATGATAACGCATGACGGGCGGTCGGAAGTCGCCTGTACAAGCGACGAATCTGTGTCGATTGTCATGTTGCTGATCTGCCGCATGTTGTCTTGCCACAGCGAGTGCTGGGTCTCTATGTCGTTCCTTCTTCCTTCACTTGCTCTGTCCCCCTCTTTCTCATTTTCTCTCCTTCCCTCTCTTCCTCGCCCTCCTCCCCTTTGCCTCTCACCCTCCTTGTGTAAGTGTGCGTGTGCATTCTTCTGTTTCTCTCTCCTGGAGAATAGGAGCATCTATCTGTGTGCGTGTGGCAGTCATCAGTGTTATTGCCGTTGGTTACAGGTGGACAAGCTTCAGGAAGCAGAATCTCTGAGGAGTGAAGAGTCTCATGGAGCGCCGGCGCCGGGCGGATACAGTAAGTCTCACATACGCTACGTCTCACATACGCTACGCCTCACGCACGCTACGTCACACACACGCTACGCCTCACACATGCTACGTCTCACACATGCTACGTCTCACACACGCGCGCGTCATCACTGATACGACCTCGACTGAAGTTAGCGTGTAGGTGTGAAAAGGTCATAAACGAGGGATGCTGGTGAGTCAGTCAGCAGCAGTGGTGGTCACGGTGAACGATGGGGGAGGGCGGGTCGAGGTAATAGCTAGGACGTTATAACTGCGTGATTGTCGTTGTAACAACGGTGGACTCGAGTAGTTGACTTACGCGTTACTTTGTTTCATTTTCAGCCCAGCAGGGGCCGCTGATGATCACAGCCGGTGTCGGCATGGGCTTGCCTCAGATGCCCCCTGGTGTCGTCTATGGTACCGGCCCCACCCCGTACAGACAGTCGCCCCAGCCGGGCTACCCTGGCATACAGCCCGGCGTCGGCCAAGGCTACGAGATGTAGAGCGGTCGTGACGGAGCAGGGTGCACGTGGCCGTCTCTCGTTGGACCGTTGTGGCCTCCTCGCTCCCTCGTATAGTGCGCGGAGGAGCTTCGTCGTTAATAGCGTATATAACGTTAGGCACTCTGCGGACTGAGCGTTGGAGAGATCTGTACATAGCTGTGGTTGGTGGTTAGTAGTGACTCGTAGACCTTCGCTCCCTAGTTATGCGACACATGGCACACTCACCCAGGGGGCTGTGTTATACACATGTATCCCTGCGGCTTCGCGGTTGCAACGTGCAGTCAGTCAGTAGGGGTCGTCGTCGTTGTTGCGCGTGCCTGATGCGTAGAACGACGCGTTCGAAGCATAATTAGGGATCGCCGTCGTCGTTGCGGTGGCGGCGGCGGGGTCGTGAATAGGGTGTGTTAATTTATTATAATGTAGTTTAAGAGTCGTTCGTAGTGCGCACTAATTACCCGTACCGTGTTGTAGAGTCGCGCGGGGTTGCGCGTCGCCCGCACGCCACCGGTCGCCGCCGCCAGGTGTGGCTGTGAGTTGCCGGCCGGCCAGCCATACGTTAACCGGCTGTTCTGTGTCCTGGAAACTCTGTTGTTGACTGCAGTGGGCTGTAAAGCAGGACCTATGTAGGTGCTTTTAACGGTAGCATCACCAGGTCGCGGTGTTGATAGTAACGATGATTATGAGGATTGCAGGGACGATGATGATGATGGTGGTGGTGGCGGTGGTGACTATGGTGTTGATGATTGTCACTGTGTACTGTAGTGAAACTAGGTGAATGCTCAACGCTCCTCTCATAATGCGTTTTGCTGTCGGTCAACGGTAGTTGGTGACTGGACTTCCATGTTGATGCGTCGTCGTGTTCATCGTTTGTCATCGTCGCTGGGATGGTTTGCTGTTGGTAGCAGCGATTCGGTGGCGTTAGTCTGGCGCGTAGTGGGAAGCAGTTGATGTTATGGCCTATACACGCGGGATTGTAGATACAAGCGTCGCCCATCTGCGGTTCCACTCTCTCTTTCGTCTTCTGTATATGTGAAATCATAGAGAGTAGACTCAATTGCTGTTTTAGTGATACTTTACTTAATTACATGTGTTTAATGTGAATTATGGTTTACACGGCCGCTCAGTGGCACGATGTGTGTGTGTGGGGGGGTGGGTCTCTACATAGCAGCACTACACCCGATACCCACCCAGGGCTTGAGGCTTCACTAGCTGCATCCGAATCTCAACCAAAGATGTGCGAGTCTCTGTGTCTTGTTCGCGTCCGGTAGGTGGCGTGCAGTGTCGTCGACGCGCGCCCATCTGTGAATATCATGTCAACCTTCACAAATCTCATTCTCTGCTTAACGAGACGTTTCCAGCATCTCCTTGGAGATCGATGTAAGCGTGTAACAGCTCATTACGTATGTCTATGCGACACTGGCTTGACCAGCGCGCTCGTCTCCCTGTAATCTGATGTACGGTTTTCGCGGCGTTTTGCGGAATGCGACGGAACGGCAAGTTTGAGACACGTCGACCCTTCCTCCTCCTCCTCGGGTTCATTTACCGAACGCAAATAGCGCTTGCTGTGCAAGTGTCGAACATTCCAGTAGTTAGGAGTAGTGAGTGAGTCGCACGGCGGCGGGTTGGACGCGCGATTCCCGGTTCTTTGCCTTCGTGATTATGTTTACACTCGTTCGCATGTTTATACATACGTATATATATATATATATATATATAGCGGGGAGGGAATTGCTCAAAATTGAAGTGCAAAATTTTTATGAATTCCCTCCCAGCTATATATAACACACAAACATATACGCATATCAGGAGTAAATTATCACAAATTGTGATCATTTACTCCTGACGCATGTACACATACTTCGGTGGTTTGCCGCTATGCGTAATGGCGTGGTACGTTTCATGTCGAAATGGAATTGTGCGAGCATTGTGAGATCGTGAATATCTCGGCACTAGTGGCGCCATCTGGTGACACGCCAGCCTGGAAGCTTCGTGGTTTACATTGATTGGTTTCCTGGTTGGCTGGTGGTTGCAGTAAGACGGCCGGCGTTTCTTGATTTGAGATCGTAAGATTGTCACACATATTGCATAATTTTACTTGTATTACCTGTATTATTTTATCGGTATTGCAGAGATTGTTTCGTTGTGTATTTTCCGAGGTTTTTTTTTTGTTTTCTTTTTTATTGTTAATTTTTCACTTTTTGATGACTATTTCCGGTACCAGCTGGCTCTGTGTCTGTGTCTTGGTTGTGATGTTGGCCAATGACGAGTTATTGCCAGCAAAATACAATCAAGTATGCAAATCAGGAGTGATATAGACAGGGACGACGCTAAATGAACTGTTACTAACGAGACGATGCAGTAGTGCGTTATTACTAACACTGACATGACGCTAACGTCTCGCATCTAAACTACTACGATATTAACGGTCGCATCCGCAAGTGCAGCGTGGTTACCGACATCCAAGGTCGTAACCTGCGCAAGCACTTCCTTCAACTGCATGTATCTGTAACGTGGTGTCGGGGAGGGACTGCAATAACAGGCCCACCGCCTGGCCGCCAAGTCGTTAGTTCTCACTCCCCCCGTTCTTCTTCGTCGTTAAGCGATGGTGAGATTAATCGATCCGCCTCGGTTAATCATCGTCGTCGCCGCGCAGCAGCAGCAGTAGAGTAGTAGTCGGGTGGAAGCCCCTTTACCGCAGCACGTGTAATCGTGACGGCATATCTATAAAGCTGTAGCGTGTATCATAGGTGACCACGGCGTCGCACGCAGCGTCGGGAGTCCGTCTACTACATATACAGGTCGTATGCTCGTAGTATTACTCATTGTTGCAAGTATATATGACATAAATAAATAAATAAATATGACACCAAACATGCTGAACATGAGAGCTTGACTGTCTGTTGTTTTACTCGCGCGGCGTTGCGATGACGGTATTGCGAGTACAACGACACCACGTACGTTACTATAAACTGATGGAGCGATGTAGACATGACAGTATGAACATTGAAATAATTGATAATTAAATGAATACCAAACATTAGAATGACTGACGAAATAATGTACACTTTATTTACATTGGAACTTCTTCGGAACGAACTCGTGCATACAAGCAGCAACAATAACAACTAGCACTGCTAACAAGAACTGTTACAACCTTGCAGAGTCTACGCCCGCGGGTTTGGTGAGATACACGTGTAACAAGTCGCCATGCTCTGCTAATTGCCTGTACTCTTGCATACAAAACATGGAAAAGTGTACTGTTCAACAGTAGCCGAGTCAATCCTGTAGCAAAGTTCACTTAATAGAAACCCCAAAAAGCATCTTTGTAGCCGAGTGTCTATTCTATGGACGTGTCCACTACACGGGTCTGACCGTACACACGGAAGCAGCGATTAAACTTGGGAGTGCATATAGAGAGAAGGCAATTCCCACTGCAGCACACGCGTCACACGGTCTACACACACGTCATAATGTTTATACACGTGTCACGACGCTGCAGTGCTAACTGTGTGTCACCTTAGTCATCATCATCATCTTCATCGGTGTCCGCTGCTAGCACCTGCCGCGTGGTGGCCTGCGTCGATCTATCCGTGCCCTGTGTCGACTGAGAAAAGCCAAGGAACATCGACTTTAACTTTTTACTCGGTGGCGTACCAGGCACCACCACCTCTTCTGCATCCTCATCACTGTGCTCCTCAGCCTCTTCCTCATGCCGTCTCGGCACGCGTTGGCGCCCCCTCACGCCCGGCCGCTGTTGCGCGTGTCTGTGTGAGATGACGGGTGACGACGGGCGGTTGTCGTCGCCGCCGCCGCGCGCGAGCGATCGTGAAGCCCCCGCGTCTGTCTGTCGCACGTCCGCTGCAAGAAAACATCGGGTAAACAGGTCAGAGGTCATGCAGGGTTTCACGTTACGGCTCTACGCCATTCGGGAATCTCGGTAGGGAACCGTGTCACCGTGGCAAGTGATGCTAACAGCACATGGGTCTAATTACAGGTACACTGGTCTAATTACAGGTACACAGGTCTAATTACAAGTACACGGGTCTAATTACAGGTACACGGGTCTAATTACAGGCACACAGGTCTAATTACAAGTACACGGGTCTAATTACAGGTGCACGTCTAATTATAGGGTGCAATGTGCAGGTGTGCTTCCACGAGCCCTTACCTGAGTGAGTAGTGTTGGTGTGAGGAGTTGGCCTCATCTCTGTAGAGTCTATCTGACGCCGGACATCGCCCTGCCCATGGCGCCCTCTACCTTGCAATCCCTGCGACCGCGTTCCTTCTACCGACGAATTTGCCGGTCGCTTTCGCACAGACTTCTTCGCTGTAGAGCCGTTGGCGAGCTTAGAGGGTGCTGCTGCGACAGAGCGTGCGGTATTGTCTGCCTGTGAAGCTCTGTCGGCTAACGTCGCTAGCACAAACCTAGCCTCGAAGCCAGGGTCAGTCTCTATGCAGAACACGATGGGTCTGTAACCACGACGACGAGTTAATATAGAACACGATGGGTCTGTAACCATGACGACGAGTTAATATAGAACAATGTGGGTCTGTAACCATGACGACGAGTTAATATAGAACACGATGGGTCTGTAACCATGACAACAAGTTAATATAGAACACGATGGGTCTGTAACGATGACGACGAGTTAATATAGAACAATGTAGGTCTGTAACGATGACGACGAATTAATATAGAACACGATGCTAACGACGCGGAGCCCTGACGTCACGCGGGGTCACTCACTTGCCGGCGGTCTCGAAGTAGGCGGCGAGCGGCTGGCCGACGGCCTCCGTGAACGCGAGAATCGCACGAAGCTCCTTCAGACAGAACGTCACCTCCGTGTCAACGCCGACCTGGTAGTTGTCAAACTCTTCTGGCGCGAGCGTCACCTCCGTCTGCACAACCTTGCTCGGATCTGCAGAAGGACGGATCAACACTGCACCAGGGGGCACCGCTGCTGCTCCGCGCTCGTCGAGAAAATAGATTTCGGGGGAAAAAACTAAACGTTTTTCGGCTGTTCCTCTCTCGAACATGTGTTCTCCCAACTCAAACCTGCTTGCGCTGCTAGAACGAAATCACTATGATCGAAGAGTCTGGGGTTTCCTGCCGGGATAACGTGTGGGGCTGCGGGTGCAGGGCGCAGCGGTGCTGCTACCTGTGAACGAAGCTACGGACAACACTCGTCTGTCGACGGTTCGCGCGCGCCAGACAGCGTACCTGGCTCGTCGTCAACATAATTCCTGAGGCTGAGTTTCTGCGGGTTGACAATCAAGATTACTTCCTCCTGATTGGTTTGAAAGTTGAGCATGGCATCACACAGCAACCTGTGGGGAATCAAACTTTTAATCGTTAGGCGAGCGTTGTCGACTTCAGCTGAATCAGAGCTTTTGGGGCTCCGCTGCAAGTTGGGGGCAAAACCGAGGCAAACATTTCCTCCAGGGAATAAGTTATCAAGGTAACTTATTTTTTAACAGCAGTTTTTGCATGGGACAGAGATGAATACATACTCTACATAGAATTCGTGGAATGGCTTTTCACATTTCTCTTGAGCGGAAGTTATACAATGAAACAACTTCCAGAGAATGGACCTTTCAGTAAAGAACACCGGACATTTCCCTATATTGACCATCATGTGTGGACTTGGATTTACTCGTTACATGTGTCGTTCACCTGGATTGGGCAGTGAGCCTATTCGGACACAAGTCTTTCGAGAAGATGGCGACGAGAGCTTCCGACTCTATGTACGTCAGATTGTATGTCTTCACGATACCTGCGTGCGACAACATTCACGACATTACCGTAAAACCTCCCTCCCGCCCTAAGCACACAAATTATAAAATGCACGTCAAGCGTGACGAAATCCAAGAAGGCAAGCGAAGACTAACAAAGTACAAAGTGACGATCGTCATGCACTAAGGAGTAAACTCGTACATCTCATACCTTCCACTCACAATCCCCACCCCTGCCTACACTCCCCACCCCTGCCTACACTCCCCCGTTGAAGAGATCTCGTTATCACAATACTTGCCATGCTTGCAGCGCAGTTGAAACGTGAGTCTCGCCTCGTTGCTGTCCAACCTCACCTTACAGGTATCCACCGTCCGCTCAATGTTCGACAACGATCTGAACACTGACAGACATGACTGTAAGAAAACGAGAGCATGTGCGTCATAATTATGCGGATTTTATTCAGTAGAGTATCGATACTTATCTATACGTGTATCCTAAATAGTCAAACATAGCGATACGTGTATCGCCGAGGTTTTAATCACGATACATCGATACACGGATAAATCGTTCCACCCCTAGTAAGCACGCACGCACGCACGCACACACACACATACACGTACGTGTGTGTATATACACTATTATATATACAACATAGAGAATCCATTAATAACAGTTTCCATAACACTAACATTTCGTCATAGAGCCACCAAAGCGATATTCATTCTCAGTGCTCACCTTCATCACGATCTTGCAGCGTACGTCGTCGTCGTCGTCGCCATCGCCGCCGCCGCCGCCACCGACCTCGTAGTGAGTGAAGAACGAAGGAACAAACGTGAAGCAAGCGTAAGCCGATCGTGACGAATTCACCGTCCGCAATGACAGCTGCGAATCACAGTGTTAGTGCACAGTCAGAGCTATGTTGGCAGACGCCTGTCCATAAAGGGCCCAATACTAGTTTAGCACGCCGGATTACTTTCGCACATTTGCGAAAATGAGGCCCCAGGTACGTGCCCCCCCCCACTTCAACTAGGATTGTGCAGTCTATAAAGGACACTTATGAAGTAGACACTTATGAATAGTTGCCAGGTTCACCCTACAACTCCCATCGTTGTTACAATACACAAACGCTGTGGTCTATGGTTAAACTCCAATATTGGTGTTGTAGTGTATAACATAATCTAGCCCCAGCTGCACACCGGTTTGACCGTAAATATATACGGCAGTGGCTGGAGGTACGGCAGCCGTATCTCCAATTTACGAGGCTGGAGGTACGACAGTCAATTCGCTTTCATACAAACGAGACAAAGATGGCCGCGGATGGCGGCAGATTTCGAAATAATGCCTTGGGAAATAAATTCACGATTTGAGTTTTGATGAGCTAGAAAACACTCGGATTAGGTATGAAAATGAACATTATTGTAAACTTTACATCAGAAGATCGCAAATAATTGCCTCAGCTCTCAAACAAACGCCAAAAACGGGCTTCAACGAACGACGGCTGCCATACCTCCAGCCACTTCCTAAATATACTGTTGAGCTTGTTCTCTAGGTTTGTTGGCAGCACGAACGTTCAACTATTAATCACACATTAGCCGATATTGCCGGAGTTATGGAATAAGAAAGTACACATCGATGCAATCGATGATTAGCCTTACCCCTTCATCCAGCGCTTCGAAGTAAAGTTCTTCACCAATCTTTGATAGCGAATGTATTGCCTTCCCAAACACTAAAAAGATGCACTAATGATAATTTACCGATCGAACACCTCTACCAGTGTGTAGCACAGCGCAGGCTTCTTCAGATATTATCCGCGCGGCGTAAGCAATCACCATAAATCACGCCACACCATCTGCGACACTTATTAGTCGAACGCATCTGTGATGCTAAACTCGAAGCTAGAGACTCGGGTTTCTTCCTCTCAACCGCGTAGTCTAGTTTTTCCTAGCTCGTGATCCTCCCTTGGTTTCCTACACCTATTCCTTCCATTCTCCTTTTTCACTTCGCCGAGCTACTTCGCGATCCGCGTATTAAGGTACGAGGTTATTTGTATTTGGTTACGCGATCCGCGACGCGACTGTTACAACGTGTAGACATCTGTTTAGTATCGCAGAGTTGTTGTTTGTTTAGGCTGTTAAATTGCAAGCCACCTGTGACGAATATTCTGTGGTGTAATAGTGCGCACGGAGAGTAGCTTTTGTACTACAGTGTTTGTGTTATCTATCGACGTGACCCCACGGCTACCCTTAAGGTGACTACCTCACACATGCTAGACCGAGAACCTGGAGAGGGACGCGCGGAGCCTCCTTAGAAGTGTAACGCCTTCGTTCCCGCTCCTGTACGAAGGGACTACATCAGGCAGAGCTACCTGAAGGGACTACATCAGGCAGAGCTACCTGAAGGGACTACATCAGGCAGAGCTACCTGAAGGGACTACATCAGGCAGAGCTACCTGAAGGGACTGACATGCAGCAGACGCTACTGAAGGGACTACATCAGGCAGAGCTACCTGAAGGGACTACATCAGGCAGAGCTACCTGAAGGGACTACATCAGGCAGAGCTACCTGAAGGGACTACATCAGGCAGAGCTACCAGGCTGGTGCCCCTATACACTCCAGAACTACTCTAAATTGGATGCCATTCAGCATAAAGCTGCGAGATGGGTTTCCAAAAACTAACATGATAGTGTTGATGTTGTTTTGGCTTGTCTTGATTGGTCTCCTCTTCGTGGCCACTTTCCCCATGCTAAACTCATCACTTTCCATAAAATTTATCATGGTCAGGTGAAGATTGGCATTCCCTCTTGCTTAATGAAGCCTGGCCGATGCTTAATGAAGCCTGGCCGATGCACTCGATCATCTGAGCATGATCATAATTGTTTTCGGCATGTTCCATCTTCTAAGGATCCTTTTAAGTTCAGCTTCTTTGTTTCTGTTATTCTGACGATTTTCGTATTGGAATTCTCTTCCTTCATCATTGGTAAATTGCAACTTTTTCCACTGCGATCCGCAGTGTTGATCTATCGATTTGATCCATTTCTCTCTCCGTCTTCGTTATATTCCCTAGGACTTTTGAAGACTAACATTTATGAGATTATGAGTTTATGACTAAATATTATGAGTTCACATGCAGACGACTGGTGCCTGGTGCCAGTGCCCAGTGGTGGTGCACTGCTAGCTCTAGTAACTATAGCCCGCGTACAGTTGCCGCTGGCGGTGCACCACCACTGGGCACCAGGCACCAGTCGTCTGCATGTGAACTCATAATATTTAATCATAAACTCATAATCTCATAAATGTTCGTCTTCAAAAGTCCTAGGGAATATATTATAACGAAGACGGAGAGAGAAGTGGATCAAATCGATAGATCAACACTACGCCAGCGGCAACTGTACGATTACGCTATATAGTGAACAGTACGCGAGCTATAGTTACTAGAGCTAGTGCACTGCTAAACCGACCAGGCTCTCTGACTGTTACACGGCGTAGAACCTCTCGCCAACGTAGTGACTAGTGTTAAGCGAGAAGGGAACTTCAACTTGTGCACTGCAACTTGCAAGACTGGTGAGTGGGGTCGTGGTGCAGTTATTTTATGGTATAAAACCTCATTAGCATGACAGACGACATGCTACGCGACACGGCAAGATGGTTCAGTCTAATAAAAACACTTTGTTCTGACTACCTCGCGTACCTTTTAAATTTACCCCCGGGATGATTAACTTCATGTTTGGCGCGAGTTTAGTTTCTACAGATGTCCTCCATTGCCAAACTTTTGATACGAGCATTGCGCGCCACCCATCGGACATTCTGCTAACCACGTTCTTAGGAAGGATCATTAATTTGAAATTAAGGATTATTAAAAATTAAGAATTTTAGAAAAAAGAAAAACAACGTTAATTAAATAAACAGATCAATACTACGGATCATAGTAAAAAAAACTTTAATTTTTGTCCTAAAATAGAAAAAGAAAAAGAAAAAGAAAAGGAGATGGCAGAAACAAGCGAAAAAGTGGAGCGCGAACAACAAGAGTTGAGCGCGGCAGCGAGAAACAGCGCCAGAGTTTAAATTAGTTCCTATATTCAATAATATTGTAATTTGTAATCGCTTAGTTACAATAATGAAAATTGTACGAGTCGTGCTGAAATCCTCAGCTGGGATAAATGATTATACTATTAATGGTGATGGATCTGAGACACTTGAACAGTTAATCCCAAACGGAGCTTTGCATACCACAATAAAAGATTTAAAACGCGGCCTTTCCAAACGCTATATTAAGGTAACACTAAATATGATGTCTTATTGCAGTAGTTGTACTAGTGACCAGTGAGTAGTGTAGTGAATGTGGTTCTACAGTTATAATTATGACAATATTGTGAGGTTTGTGGTATATTACTACTAGCTGCCTCGGTTTGCAACGTCTGTTTCGACGAAACAGACTTAGCACTATTAGCAGAATTAGCACTATTTCTTCTTCTCTGTATATAGAGAAAATCGATTTACTATTACTAATACTAATACTATTTTGCACCATTGATAATGATATTAGGCCTATACTATAGTGTAGTCAGTTCATAATAAATAACTAAAACTGAATATCACCAAGCCTAATCCTAATTGGCCTATCTGCCTGAGGGAGGTATACCCGTACACCTTCATGGCTTCAATACTGTTGGCAGTGTTGCTAGGTCAGTGAAACTAACCTAGTTTGTACGTGCTGCAGACTAAAAAGTCGCCGTAGCACCATGTCATTAATTAGCATTGTTTTTAGCTTACTTGACTCGGACAGATGGAGCTTGTAGAGGGGCATGAGCATCTGTCACTAACTCAGTAATATGTGTGCAATTCTAAATGCATCGACATACAGTGTTGAAACTTGAGATGTATTAGGGTGTCAATATGAAATACCGTTGAGAAGTTCAACTTGGGGTTAATGATCAAAGATCACAAGTCGTGACGGGAGGAAGAATACTCTCCCATTAACTTGTGGTATGGGACGGTCATTGTAAAGATGCAGAATTGTGGCACACATGTAAACATCTTGACCTATACATGTGATATTTGGTATATAATCAGGGTGACAAAAACAATCATACTGGCAAAATTGTAGGTCAAAGGTCAGTGGAGCAAAGGACAGATTTCAAACATAACATTTTGAGAGATATTGTGTGGATGACCGATTGGAAAACTTGCTCCAGTGGTGACCTAGCTACAATTTTCATGACTTAATTCAAAGGACCATTAATTATACTTTCCACTCAGGCAAATAGTCATTCGTTGTGCCATCCCAATGTCATTTTTGACTCCCCCCCCCCCCCATGTATCAAATATCAAGATCGTACATCGATGGCTATTCAGAATTGTGCCAATGTTGTTGACAGACAGACGGACGCTCTTCAAATTCTACAAGCTGCATCTGACTGTGCCAGATGAGCTACAAAATTGCTCATGTTATATTTCTTGTGATGCCTTTCTTTCCATTACTAACACCAATGCAATCATCTAGTAAATAAGGATGATGTGTAACACAATTGCTAAATTTCAGTGGAGTTCAGGATATATCCAATCAAAACGCAATTACAGTAAGCGGTGTTCGCTTTGCTAGGACCTCGACATGGGCAAATACACCAAAAAAAAAATTACCACCTCACAGACCTTTTTGGGGAATCAGCATGCATTCATGCATGTGTATACATGTGTATGTGTGTATTACCATACATGTGTATGTGTGTATTACCATACATGTGTATGTGTGTATTACCATACATGTGTATGTGTGTATGTGTGTATTACCATACAGGCCCGTAGCCAGGGGGGGTTCGGGGGTTCGAACGAACCCCCCCCCCCCCCGCAGCCCCCTCCCAAGCCAAAAAATTTTTTTTTTTTTTAAATTAGCAAGAATTTTACCTCAGGTCGCCTCCATTTTAGGTGTAATAAATTGCCAAAATCTCCATCGTGCGGAGCGGCTTGGGTGAAAACCCAACGTTTATGAACACCCCCCTCCCACACACCTCCCCGGCGCGTCGGTCGCTTGGCTCCCCGCTTAGGGGATCGCTTTCTGCGCACACCCGAGCTGGGGCCGTGGAAGGGGGGGTCCAGGGCAGTCCGGAACCCCCCCTTGCTTCCGACGCGCGAGGAAAAACCGCACAGGTTGACTGCACGGGCCGCTGTAATTTTCAAAAAACGTTCTGGGGGAGGCGCCCCCCCCTAGGACCACCCCCTTCGCTGGTGCTCGCTACTATGGGTTAACGGATAGACCCCCCTGGCTACAAATCCTGTACACGCGCCCTTCGAGCAAATTGCCAACATTTAAAAACCAACCCCCCCCCCAATAGAAAGCTGGCTACGGGCCTGCCATACATGTGTATGTGTGTATTACCATACATGTGTTGTGGTACGGAGAAGGTAGGAATATCCAATTAAACCCGAATACAGTTTGATGAGACACTAACACACGCTAATTTAATAGTGCTTGTTGGCGTGATAGATTAAGATTTAGTGCAACAGCTTCCAAATAACAGAGCCAACTGAAAGGTGCCTTTATATCCTGAGTTGGAACCTGTATCTAGAGTTAGACAAGTGATAATACTCTTTGATTACAGGGAAAAATATCTTGGAAAGGTTCTTTGACTGCTGTTGGCGACAATCAGATCAGCTTAAAAATTACAGATGGTATGTTGTCCCTCAGATTACTATAGACATGTTCACGTCACGTCTTATCAAATTTCCCAGTCTTGTTCTGTGTTACATCATACAGCTAGTAAGTAACATAACACTTATATCTTTGGTAGAACCTTACTGTCCTTGTATGATATTGATAAGCTAAGATCAGTGGTAGAGCTAGCAAAGGTTTTGTGTTTTTCCGTGTAGATAATGTGTGTTGGAAGAAGAAGCAGCATAGTCCGCAGACGGCTAGAGGAAGCCAAGGAAAGGCTCCAAAAGACATGGTAGTGTTGATAGATTTCAGTGGAAGCGTGGCTTTGTGGGTTGACCAGGTCACACAGCTCTGGGTGAGTTGGTTAATGGTTACTGCTTCATGATGCCTAAATGCAGTCATGATTTGTTACAGCTCAAGTAAACTGCAGACAACTACTGTCAAACAGCGGCCAATTTTCACCGGAACAGACAAACTCATAATGTTTTTCAACTCTTTTTACTTTTAATTAATATGAAATTGTTTTGGACGATCGAGTTACCAGTTATTTTGAGAACTGTTTGTGTTAATCTAGGACACCGTTGCTGTATGCAATGCAATGACAAGGCAGTGTGAGGATCATCAGGACATGGGTGTTAATCAATGGAAATTGGAGTTTGTTCCCGCAGTCAGCTCACAGTCCCGCTCATCGAGCTACTTCTTCGTGAGTCAGTAAAGCACATATATATGCCTGTTTGAGAAAATAACACCATAGTTATATGTAGAGACTTCGAGCATGTATTTGCAATTAGCAGCCCTGGAAAATTTTTCATTGCAAAGCATTTGCATTACTATTGTGCAAGGATATTGATTGTTATATTTAACTGATTAATTAATATGTTGAAATTAATGAGCATGCGAGTGAAGGGTGCCAGTGTTCTCCTTAACTGCTGATGTTATCAATTACAGGTGGACACACGCCGCAAAAGGCTCACAGGCAATGTAGCTTCTATGAGTTTGAAAGTTATGGGGACTCAGACCCCAATGGAAGCATCAGCACCTGAACAGAGTACCACTGCAAACAATTCTAACACGGCAATAGCCAGTGGGGCAAGTTGTACGGGCGGTAGATTCAACAAGCGAAAGTTAGATTTCACCTCAACAAGCCAGAGCAAGAGTAAAAGGCACGAACAAACTGGAGGTACTGTTTTCACAAAGCCAGCCGAGAAAGATGATGGAGTTGAAAAAATAAGAGGTTCAACTGCCATTCAAGAGATTTTGGCCGCGTTGTCGATATCTCTGAATTTGGGAGAACGAAATAGTATACCTAGTGGGGAGATTTCTATGTCTCAGCAAGGAGGCACTAATACTGATCAAACAGTTGGTATTGTAACTCCAGAGATCATGAAAAGCAGCTTCTGGGAAAACAGTAAAGACTTAAGCAACAACTTGATGGCTAATAGAGAAAGTGGCTGTTTGGAGGTTAATAGTGACTTGAGCGAAGCAATGCCTACGAGAGTGGAGTCTGCATTGAGAGAGTCATCTGTTAGTAGTAGCGATAGTTCCACTACAGAACAGTCAAGTAATCCAATATGGTTAATTGGTTCACCACCGGTGATGGATGTAACAGCTGGTGTCATATCTGGAATGGTACATATCCTTATTAATTATGATTCTGTTCTTTATAGCCTCACGTGTTTTTAAATAGAAATTTGGTATTTTTAACTGAGAACTTGAGAGTTTGGAACTGGCCACTTACTTTGTTATGTAAATTATGTGCAGAGACTTCATTAACACTATACATGTAGTTTGATATATGTATATGTGTAACTATCACTCTCTAAATGCAATTTATAGTTGACGTCTTGTTAAACTCTTAAGTGTTTAAAGTGTGTAAACCTATCAGAAACCAACACACACAACCCTCTTTTACAAATATAGTGATTCTTTATTGTAGTAGTAGCAGCAATAACAGCAGAAAGCATCTGGTAAAGTATAGGACCAGTCAGTTAAATAATGATTGTCTCCTTACAGAAAAGATATATGTATATATTTCAGCAACGGTGCAACAACACCACCTTGATCAAAGATCTGGCAGTTGGCTCGATAGCTAGTGTGTGGGGAATTGTCAAGTTTCTAGATGAGCCAAAAAAAACAAGAGGAACAGGTAAATTGTTCAGTACAGGATCTTCTATCAGTTGGATATTTATCTCGATTTGTCCTCCAATTCCTAGACAATAGACATTTCTCAGGAATATTAATTTCGTCTCTCAGTGTCGGCCTCTTATGTGCATTTTGCCAGATGAGAACACTGATCCTCCTCTACATTTAGAATTTCACGTCTTCCAGATTGGATGTTGAACTTTGGACTAGTGGACGGTTCCACGGGTGAAGAGGAGGGAGACGCAGTGCACTGCCACGTGTTCGCTCCCACGAAGCAGCTCCTACCTCAGATCTACCGCAGAAGAGACATCGTGCTTCTGCTACATGCAAAAGTAACAAAGATTGAGTCATGTAGTTCGCCACCCTTGCGATGTAACCTGAAACCAGGGTTTAGTTGGAGCCTGTTCACAGTTGTCCTCAGGCTATAACCTGAGTCTTTGTTTCCATAATTAGTGCTGTGGTTGCACTCATCAGCACCGTCATCACCTAGTATATTCAAATCATCATGAGAAGAGAAGAACTACATTTCACACATAGAGTGTGTCAGAATATTGTAGTTGCTTCTTAAAATCCAACATGATCATGTCACCTTGGCGTTCAACTAATTTGGTTGCGGTTCAAGCAATCTTTGTCCAGCCAGCTGATACAAAGTTTCTAGAAAATAGGTTCAATTCATAATTCATACATATCTTAAACCGATCCATGAAATGGTAGGTGCGTGTGCCTGCCTGTATAGAGAAATTCCACTTCACCAGTAGAACAGATGAGAGGTGAAATATTACTGATATATAATGGTAAAGGTAAAAAGTGTGACCACTGCATCTCTGAGATCGTTAACATCACCAAGAACAACCCTGTGTCTGTTTGCAGGTGACTCTGTTCTATGGCAAACTGCAGTTGAGGGAAACTGCTGCTACGGTGGCTCTGGTGTTTGACGAAGAGCCAGCCAGTAGTGAGCAACCAAGGACAGGCAGTGCAGATCTTTTGTACAGGTAACCAGTGTAGCAATTTCTGTTCCCATCTGTGTCTATATCTTTTTACACAATCCACATAGATATAGCATCACTGACATGGAATTCGGAGCGTTGGCAAGTGTTTTTAACTCGCTTCTGCAGATATGTGGTGACAGTTGTCAGTTGTGGGATTCATAATAAAGATGTTGATATTGTTTCACTTTATAGTTTCACTGAGTTGGACAGAGAGCAGCTGAGTCACTACAGAGAGTTATTTAAGCAAACCAAGTCATTTGCTCCAGTGACAACCAAAAAATCCCTTATCTCAGACATAAAGCTAAATTCCTACAGTGATGTTTATTGCCAGGTAATCTATTACTATTCCATTTGATCGTCGTTTCCCTCCGTGTAGAATTGTGAATATCATCTTGGTTTGTACACTACACCATAGAGATTTTATTTGCCATGTATGACATGATCTTATGTAGCATGCACTGTACGGA